AAAAAAAAAAGAAAAGAAAAGGAAGGACACAGTCTAAGTAGTTTAGCCTCTATTTGCACTATAATTCGATTTAAAATCTGAACAAGAATATAAAAATAAATAAATATTTTAATGAACATCATATGGCCATGCTCAAAATATACAATATACTTGCTGTATCACTTCATTTAGGCACCCAAAAGTAATGGTATTATGAACAGAAATCTTGAAGAATCACCATACTAACTTGCATATTGCAAGCCAAAAATTCGGAGGCGCCCTTTGATCCTTCAGCCTCGATCTCACGTAATCTTGAAGCTGTTAACACGAAGCTTGATTATGAGGTAAAATCAGTGACCCAAAAGCAAAATGAAATCTGAATTCTGTAGCAAAGTAAATCGCAGAAATCTACAGTTCTGATGTTCGGGAAGATTTATCATTATCACGGCCACAATATACCCAATGAAATGCAAGAATAAAATAATGAAAAAATAGCAGAACCAGCTTCTTGCCAACATTTCCTTTAATTCAGCAGACGAAGGTAGACAAGTTTCTTAACTGAAAGAAAAATGAAAGTTCAGCAACTAACTTGGAACATAAAAAAGTTCGACCAAAACGACACAACACTATAAGTTGGATGACTAGCAGTGTTTTCTTTGAACCCCGTCTGAGTCACTATATGAATTACATATGGTCAAAATAAACTGACTCCAATCTTCTTCCCTTTAAAGGTTCTCCAAGTTTTTTTCTTCTTCTTCCACTTCAACACGGCCATTTTCTCACATTTCCACTTTCTATATCTGTAACGATTCCTTAACCAATTTGAGTAATCTTTTCCCTGTTTGCACTCAACAAAATCAGCTAAATCGTCAAAATCAGACATTTTCTCTCCCTCCTTTAACAAGCACTTAAAAAAGATTTTCCCATTGCTTGTTTCCTCTGTTTCCTCTTCCAACCCTATGGCACCCTCCATGTCTGGTGCACTTAAATCTCCTGTTTCTTTACTTTTGTTTGCCAGAGAATCCCTAGTGAAAAAAAAAAAATTTTGATAGTTAATAAACAAGATAAATAAAACCCAAAAACTTCCTCTCTCCTACATTAAGAATGCAGTTTTACAGAAACAGTTTGTAATTCAAATTTGGAGTGAGTAGGGATGGATAAAACCCCCCGAACTGAACCGAACAGCTCTTCATAAGTTAAATACCCGAACGAGTCTACGAATCAAGAACCTATGGGTTTGGGTCGGGTCTCTGTTCTGGACCAAAAATTGAATCTAAATAATTTTTTATATTGAATTAATTTAATTTTTTTAATTTTTTTTTAAAACAAATTAGTAAATCTTATTAGTTGAACAATTTTTAGTTATTTGTGTTTGTTAATTGTGCTTTTTCAATTATACTTGTAGAGTTTCTATGACAAGTCAAACAATTGATGGTTAAATCAAATAGTTGGTAAGTATTACCAATACTTAAAAATATTTTATTTTTATAACTTTTAATTTATATTTCATTTTCTTTATGCAGGCTACTTGAAGCAAATGAATTATTGATATGGATTACCGATGTTTTAATATTAGTATCTACTTTTTAATTTTTGTATACATTGAATTAATCTTATTGGACAGTTTGTTATTTATATGTTTTTAAATTGGGCTACGTTAATTTGTAAAAGTTACGAATGAACATGTCATTAGTTGTATTTATGTAGTGTTGTAAATGTTAAAAAATTTAATTATGGTACATAACCGAACCTGAACGGTTCCATAATTATATTTGGACCCGACGGTTCCATTTTTTAAATGCCCGAAAATTTTGGCTCCATTTGGTTCTGAAGAGAATCGACCCATGTCTAGCCTCAAGTAACATGACCAAAGTAGATAACACTATTTTAGCACAACTGCTCTCTTACCCCCATCAGGGCTTTCTATCGCATATTGTAAAGACCTGAGTCTCATACCTAAGCCGTTATATCATACGTATAGCACAACTGCTCTCTTACCTCCTCAAGGCTTTCTATTGCATATTGTAACGACTCAGGCCTCATACCTAAATCGTTATATCATACGTACTATATTATATGCTTTGAAATGGAATCTACCCTTTTACCCCCTCACGGTTTTCTATCGCATCCTTCCGGACTCGAACTCAAGATCTTTGTCTTGTGAGAGACTTAAGTTGAATTATGTTACTAATTGGGCAATTAAAGGGAACTCTATGTTCATTTTAATTTAGAAGCTCAAAAAGGGGCTAAAGTCACGACTCAAAACTTGACGCAAGCAAACCATCCCCTTTTTTTCATACTAGTTATTGACATGGTAAGGAATGAAAAAGATTAGATATTTCTCATTTTTTAGAATAAGGGAGGAAAGAGAAAGATCTCTCTCTATATCTATATATATTTCTTTTTATTTGATAATTTCTTATATTTTGATTCATTTTTATGTTTCTAATCCATTAGTAAATCCATTTTTTTTTTTAAAATTTCTTAGCTCAATTGTTTGACTACCTCGTCTAAAAAGAGGCTAATTGTTCCTGTAGCCAAGGAAATAAGGCTGCGAAAGGCTTCAAGTGTGGACACAAGTTTCGCAAAGGAATGCCAGCATTATTCGGAATGATTGGACGTAAAGCGTTTGTAGGTGACTTTTTAAGTCCGCCGTCAAATCCAAAAGCTCAAGCTCAAGTCTGGACAGGTGGTGAAAACTACCAAACTGTAGTACGGTAGGGGCAAAAGGAATTTCCGATGGATTCAAGACTTCCACTATCAAGTCAATGTTCAAAATCAAAATTATAAGAATTGAATAGGAAGATAAAAGGACATTGTTCAGAGTGAAACTGAACCAAATGTCTTCTTTCTGTGGAACTCGCTTCTTATAAAGGGTTCCCGCACTTTCGAAGAATTGTGCGGCTAATCTCTAGATGAGGATTAAAGGTAAGATAGTTCTAATCGAGTGATAGGTATTTTTATTTATTTATTTATTTTGTGTTTTTTGGGCATCAATCCGTACGACATAGAAGACTTCCTCCTCTTTTTTTGCTGTGCGTCGGATGGGTATTAGTCACAAATTCACAAGTGACAATACTGGCTTGTTTAGTAGGTGGATGATACCGAATAGAATTAAAAAATACGAGGATTTTACTATCCAGTATTTTGCAATACTAGATAGGAATGAACAGTATAACGAACAAGATTTTAACTTCATTTTCTTCCTGAATACCGCTCAGCGCTATCTAATCTTCCCTAACAAACATAAAATAAGAGTTCTGGGCAATCAACATGGATAACTTAAGTCCATGCAAATGCAGGTTCATCATGGTACAAGCTGAAAGAACTCTTTGGAGTTACATGCATCATCAATCAACATACTGCATGCATAGCATTAATTACCTCAAATACAGGGTTCTTGTCTTCTGAAATTTTGATGCAACCACTAGGCTAGAGTTTTGGTCCACTACAGTCTGCATCATTTACAAAAAGTTATACAGGCTGAAACAGAGCAAACCTTTATGAACACAGAGTGGAGGTGGAAAAAGGAGAGCATTACCTCCTGGAATTTGACATGTAGCAATCCAGATGGAAAGGATTCTTTATTGGAATCAACCATCGACTGCAGTGCATCTAAACTACCCTCTTCGAAAACAAATAAATTCAATATGGCAATAATAGTCAACAAGCAACCCTTAACTAAACAATCAAGCCCACTAACAAAGCTCAAGGACATCAAGCCATAAAAATGCAAAAACATCATTTTAGAAACTGTATGCGTTGTAACATGGCTCGACATCTCATTGGATAGAACTTGTTGGGTGGGTAACTGAATGCCAAAGTTTCTGAAAGTAGTGATTATGCCCATAATGAAATCATACTCCTTACATGAAGAAAAATCTTTCAAGGTTTTCAGGCAACCTAAATCATCACCCTGTCTGAGACGCTGTACGGCTTGCCCCAATGAAGTGCTCATTAACTTCAATAAGGAAGCAAGAAGATATACATCCTGCAGACTTGTACCCTCAATTGAATGTATTGCAGTGTCATTGAAGCTTTCAGAAGCTCTGAGAATTAAGCAACTTAAGATAGCTAAAATATCATCTCGACATGATACCTCAAAAACAGTTTGCATCTCCTTCACAAATGTCATGGCAGAACTTACAAGATCAGATTTCATTTTAATGAAAATGCCATGCAATTTTGGACGTGATGAATCATCTAATCTTGATATTAGAGTATTGATCTTCTGCTTTGTCTCAGGCAATATATAGGATTCAAACAATGGATGAAGTCTTTCGTCTGATATATTAGATTTATCACAACCTACCCCACTTAGAGAATAGCCATCTATTTCCAAACTAGACATGTGCTTCATATACAAAACGACTGATTTTTCAAAAACTGACAGGAAGCAGTTCATAAGTTTACGGTCTGGTTTCGGGCTCTCTATGTCTATCATATAATTGGCTTCAGAAACCAAAGAAATCAGATGAGCTTGCATATACTTTGGAGCAGAAATCATGATAGGATTGAGAAGTAATGATGCTGCAGTAACCAGACTTATTTCTGGAGCTCTGTACGAATATCTAAGTTCTTTAGCACATATGCCAAATAATCGGACGAGAAAACCTTCAAATGCAAGCTCATCAGAAAATGATTTTAAAAAATGAGTACAAATCACTTCCATTACAACCCCAATATCACCCTGAGTAGAATGAGAAATTAACAGCTTTTCTCCAATAGACGCAACAGAATCAATCAGCTTAAAGTACCCTCTTAGTTGCCCATGAATCGAAAGCTCGTCTAGAAATACCTGTGCAATAAAATTTACAAATTACAAGGTCAGAACTCCAGAAATATTCTTAAAGATGTAACTAAAATTACGAATATCAAGAAACAAATGTGATATGCTTAAAAATATACAAACAAGCTACCAAACATTCGAAATCACACAGGAAAGCATAGAGAAGCAAGTTCTCAAGCTTGTGTATCTATCTTCGAGAAGATAAAACCCCGTTAATATCTTTCTGTGAAAGAAACTGCTGCTTCCTGTAACAGAAAGGTAGAGATATAACTACATAATCATCACAAAGAACCCGATGTGAGTACACAAAATCCTTCCTGGAGATCGACAGAAGTTTTTCTCTCTTTCTTCTCACATACAATGCTTCAGGTGTGTGTGTGTGTGTGTGAGAGAGAGAGAGAGAGAGAGAGTGTTAAAAGGCAATGAGTGTAGAACGTAACAAAAAAATAATTTATTGCAACTAATTAAACCAAAAATTATATGCCTTGGCCTTTTTTTTCAAATTATCTAGATTGCTGATCTATTAGGAAAGCTACCAACAAGATGTCTCTTTGAATTCGAGTTTAACATTTCTCCAAATGAGTATTAAAACAATGAATGCAAAATTCCGAAGGTTTCATATCAGTGCAAAACAATGAACATGAAATTTCTGCTACTACTCTATTGCAAGTCATAGAGAAGTCAAGAACATAAAAAAGTGGACTATCAAATTACCTCCAGCATTGCTGATTGGAAAAAGAGGTAAAGATTAGATGGTTCTAAAATGTAAAAGGAGGCAGTAAAGTCTTCAGCATAGGATGTTGTACAGTTACTGTCACCGCGAGCGCACTCATGAGAAACTGACTTCTCAAAGTTAAATGCACTTTTCTCCTTTCTGACAAGCGAATTTGGTGAACTCAATTGTCTGAGTATCCTGAACAGAATGAGACCTTTCTCCAGAAAAAGATTTTGTTGGGCTACAAGCAGAATCAACAGTACTAGGCAACATCTCAACAGCAAATTCACTATTTCAGCAGCATCCAACAAATCCGAGTGGGAGCTAACTTCTTCGAAATTCTTACTTGCAAGGTTTTCACATAAAGCTAAGAAGTGCTTAAACCTCTCATTTATTTCTTTAAATAGTACATCAGAGAGTCTACATACATCTCCGAATGCCACTTTGATCCCTTCGTGGTAAATTTCCAGGTCAAAGTCGTTCAAACCAACTGCACATTTGACACTCCATTGTCGGATTGAAGACAAATGAACAAGCAGAAGATACAAACTTTTCAAGACCGGTGGTTTTATCCCCTGAAATATTGAGTCCTCTTTTATATAATAAATCAGAAAATAAATGCACCAGTTATTGTGACAAAAATATAGCAAAAGAATTTGCATAATTCCAATTTCTAAAGGTCCATTCAGCAAGGGGGAAAACTGAAAGATATATATGTATCTTGTGATTATCTTTTTTAGAAGTCATTGTCCTAGCACTTTACTCGGTGCTACCACCATAGACCAAATTGTTGCACTGTAATAAAGTCATCTTAATGAACTCCTGCTTCCATTTGACAAAATATCAAAACCGAAAGAAAAACAACAGAAACAAAAAATGAAAACTTTAAGCTGCAAAAGGAATACGACACAGCCCAGGCCCCACTAGGGAAGCAATGAGGAATCTTAGTTCGCTTCCAAAATGCGAAGTAATACTATAATGGAAACATTATTTCCTTTATCTTCTATCAACAAATGTAAATTTACAGTCATAAAAACATAATTCCTTCAAAAAAAATTCAAAGCTCTCAACTTTTTGAAAAAAAAAAAAAAAAAATTAGTTGCAGAATTAGTTACCTAATATTCCCTCATGAAATTCTAAGTCGGCAAACAATTTATTCAAGTAATATATAAACACACAATTAAATTACAGGCAAAAAATAGAGTTCGATTCAGAAGAATGATTGGCTAATCAAAGGGAAAAATCTGAACCTGAGGGGATTGAATTGCTCTGAGGAGAGTCCTGAAAGTGCGATAATTATCAAAATTATTATCATCTTCTACTGGGATTTCGGTTTCAGCCCTTTTCTTCTTGCCTCTCCTCTTCTTCGGTGAACCCATTGAAAAACCCTCTAGCCCTTAAAACAAAATTCTCTCCCCCTCGCTCCCTCGCGCGGAGAAGACGAGTGTGTGCTATAGTACTTGGCAGTAGGAGATTTTGGTAAAAGTAAATAAAGCCTATGTGTGGCCTCATTTTTTTGACAACTCATTTTTCAATGGTTCATTTTTAATTGCACATTTTCGCATAAAATAATATTATACATATAAATGGAAATTTTTTTCTTATTTTTTAATTACACATTATTTGAAAAATTACTATTTCAAAACTTATTTCCCCCCAAAGGAGTAAGAAGAAATAATTTTTCGTCGATAATCAGCGATCAAAGTACCATTGATAATCACTAACAGCATTCGTTATCTTGTGCATCAATAATCACGTATGGTGCGAGATTATTTTATTATGTCTAAAAAAATGCTAGTCCAAAAGATTAAGTAAAAAATGTATAATATAATTCGACTTTAAACATTCAATATATTTAGTGCCTGTTTGTCAACCATTATTGAGAAGAAAATGGTGTAATGAATAGTAATTTTTGAAAAATGTGTGGTTGAACCCTCGTTTGACATCCATTTTTTATCTCATTCTCATTCTCATTTTTCTACAGTACTCATTTCTAACCACACATTCTCCAAATAAAATAATATTACACATAAACCCAAAAATTCTTCTTACTTTTTAACCACACATCCTTTACATCAATCACATTTAATCACACATTCTCCAAATAAAATAATATTATACATAACCCAAAAATTCTTCTTACTTTTTAACCACACATTCTTTACATCAATCACTATTCAAAAACTCATTCTTCAAAAGAATGGGTGCCAAACACCCACTGAAAGAAATTTTATCGATTTACGTGTAGAATATTTTATTATTTGAATGTGTGGTAGAAATTGATTACTGTAGAAAATAATTTTTTGAAAAATGGTAGACAAACAGGGGCTTATTTAAAAAGAAAATGTATTCAAGGTGAGAAAATGATTCCCTGGTTTCATATATACTCTTTTAAAATGAAGTCAAAATCAAACATTAATCTTAACCGATTCATTTCCAAGTGTTTTGCACATTCATAGTCATTTGAGACCATAGATTGCTGGGATTGTTCCAAGACCACATTCTGATACAAAAAGAATTGGTATCCTATGTGTTTCATGTTGTGGACAAATAAAAATAGGCTTTGTTTGGAGAAATTAATTGGCAGATTTTAATTGAAATCTCAACCGTTGCATACACCTACAGCCGTAACATTTGACCACATGTGAGAGGTGTGGGGACCAGCAATTGAAAAAAAGGGTCGAAAATGTGCTACTAATTTGGATAAAATCAATGTCAGACACATCCTATATAAGAACTTCGATTGAATCTATGATGAATTAATATTTAAGTGATTGCCTCTAGCATTTCAAATTTCATCTGGACTTCAAAAAAGTTTCACTCATTTGGACTAGCTTTTCAGAATTATAAATAGCAAGATCATTGCATTTCTTCTCAATGTAGATATAGGGATACATATTGCAGTGCACAAAACATTTTTCTTCATGTCCCAATATGGGTGAATATGTGATGTTCACATAGAAATTTGCTGAGAGGAACCTCGAAAGGCTATATGAAATAGATATGTCCGTCAAAAGATAAATCACCTTCAAACTCTGATCGTGCTAAATCTGATGTACGGAAATCCCATATATTACCAAGCGTAGCATAATATTGAGGCTAACGACGTGAAGAATATGGTTGGTTTACGTGTAGCAGTAGCTGTAGAGGGTCCGGCAACTCCATTTTCAAGAACGGGTATTTCATTATTGGAATCAAAAAGGACGAAAAGAACTAGGTCAAGTATCAAGAAAATATCTCATCGGGAGCTATTTCGAACCTTCTCGTCTCAGGTCCAGAGGAGAACTTAGGTCCCTCGGCGACTTGGATTTATACCAACTTAATAATCCCATTTTTAATTTAATTATAATGATGCCAATGTGGTTTGAATGTACTGACTATTCCTGTTCTTGCCTATCTCAGATGCTTGAATTTTGCACCTTCCTTCAAATGTACTCAAGAGTTCCCCGTAAATGCTGTCTTTTATCTCTATCTTCTACGTTATTATTTAATTAGCCGAAGTTCATGGTGTCTGTGAAATCTGTTTGCATTTGGTAGCTGTTGAGACGCGGAACCTCAGTGCCAATGCATTCGGATTCTGTAATTTAAAACGTGCAGTGAGCTTAAAAGAGAAAATGAAAAACTTCTGGTTCTTGCCAGTTGAGATCAGTTGAGGATTAATTTTTGATGGAAAATTTAGGGCATGTTCTCTATACTGTTTTCAGATCGTTCTCTGTTTTCAATTTTCCAAAACAGTGAAAACACGTTTTCTTTCTTATTTTCAAAAACGTGTTTTTGAAAACAAATTTAAAATTTACAAAGAAAACCCAAAACGATAAATTTGTCATTTTGGATGTTTTCAGTTATAATCAGGTCAAAATTTTCAAAACGCGTTTTGGGTGTTTTCCATTTTTTTTAAAACATATTTTCAAAATTTCAAAAATAACACATTTTCAATAATTTCAAAATGAACACTCAAAACATAAACTGTGAATTTAAAACTCAAAACGCAAAGAGACAATCCTTAGCATTCTCTAACACGTTGAACTTTTAAATGAGATTATTCAATGGTTTATTGGAAATGCCACCCTGCAAGGTTCTTGTGCCACTTAATCAAAGGGTTATTTATCAATTTCAAAGGGCATTCCTGTGGTTATAATTATAAGATCTTGCATAATACAAGAATGCTATGAAGATTACCATACTAAGTGCAGCAAGTAACCAATAGAAGTAATCGAGATGAGCCCGATTAAGGTTGTCCGAAAACCAGCCGCTTTTCCCTCGTCCACCAGTCACCTTCTCAATGGCAGATATAAGAAAGCTGCTAAGGAAGCTCCCAACGCCGAAAATACTAAGGTAGAGAGCAAGACCCGTGCTTCTCAATCCACTAGGTACCTGGTACAATCAAGCCTCCACGATCAAGTTTTAGGCAAAATATAAAAGAGAAAAAATTAACATTTTAACACTACCTGATCATAAAAGAACTCTTGCAGGCCGACGTAGGCGAATACTTCAGCTATTCCGAACAACAAATATTGAGGAATCAACCACCATATGCCCATGGGAACTATGGCCTCCGGCATATCGACTAGGCCATATTTCCGAGCAGTTTCAAGACGTTTCATCTCTACAACAGCAGCAACAACCATAGAAAGTAGAGAGAAAACTAGCCCAGTTCCAATTCTCTGAAGCATCGTCAGGCCTGATGGCTTCCTAGTTATAGCTCGTGCAAAAGGAACCAGAATGCGGTCATAAATAGGAATTAAGATAACAGTCGAAAGACTGGTGAAAACTAGTAATGAAGCCGCTGGCACTTTAAAGTTTGGACCAATGGATCTGTCCATTGTAACTCCTTGCTCGGTGAATAAAGTGAACGCTTGAGCATACACAATGGCGAATACTAAACATGTTGCCCATATTGGAAAGAGCCTGAGAATTCCCTTGCCCTCTTCGAATTCATTTGTACTACGAAAATCCTTGTCCAAACTACGGGGTGAAAGGGATGTTTTATCAGCAAACCTGCCAACGAAGGAAAACCGAAAACAAGTCAAGAAATGTTCAATTGCGTTATCTCAAAGTTAATCCTGCGAAGAATAAAGCTTCTCCAAAAAAGATAACGCAACCAAATTCATACATTTTAAACATACGGCTCTAGACTCTAGAAGAATAGAACTATTCGCACCCGATTCTAATAGACAAACTACTTCAAATAGTAGTTTCCCTTACTTGAATTGCGCTTCTTCTTCAATGGATACTGCTGAAGTGCTAATACTCCGATTTCTGAATGCCTTACGAATCGCCAACCAAATTTTCACAGACAGGTTATTGTCATACCCTTTTCTGCTAAACCTGTAAGTTGTTGTTCCAAGCAAAAACACTATCAACGCAAGGATCATGACGATGCATGGAATTCCAAACCCGAGACCCCATCCAAGGTTGTCTTGAATGTAGTTCAAAATCGAGATTGTTATAGTATTGATTGCAACTATCGTGAAATACCACCAATTGAAGAATGAACTCTTGGCTTTCGACTCTTCAGGATCCCGAGAATCAAACTGATCAGCACCAAATGCCTGAATGCAAGGCTTGTGTCCGCCTTGCGCTATAGCAACTAGATACAACGACAGGTAGAAGATTATAATTTGGAGCCGAGAAGAACATGATTCCTTGGCATTGGCAGCATTTTGGGTGTGACACGAGTAGAAAGAAGGCAAAACAGCTGAAAGGGTCAAGAGGCCAAGCCCCTGTCACCATTTGAGTCCAAGGTAAAAGTTCATTACTATTCCTATACAATTACATTATGTTTCGTAAAGTAGATTCAATAATATTAAGAAAGAAAATGAAGTTAAGATTATTATAGATTAAAAGAGCGATTTGTACTACTGAGAGTAATGCACGAAAGAGAAGAACGATAGTACAAAAACACACTATTAAAGGGGTTCACTCTTAATGCTTGAACTATGTCCACCTGATGTCACTGCAAAGTTGTACCATATGGTAAAAGACTACAATGTGATTTTGAACTCACGCTTATCTTTGTTTCTCTCTATTATAACACACATGAAGGAGGCTTGCTCTAGCCCATAGGAGGAAAATATTAAGTCAAACACATAGTCAAAAGAGGAAAAGTATATGGTACAGGACCATGCTAGGCATCCCATAGGAGGAAAATCTTAGGTCAAACCACAGTCAAAAGTGAAAAAGTATATAGTAGTACTCAACATACACTAAACTACTCCATCCGAAAATGTTTCTATCTAGTTCCATATGAACAAATATCATAATCTTCGAATAGAATTATGTAGGGCTGGACAAAACTCCCGAACCGAGCGGTTCTTCATAAGTTAGATATCTGAACGGGTATCTGAATCGAGAATCGATGGGTTTGGGTCGGTTCTGGACCAAAAATCGAAGAACCGAATAAGAACCAAATCTAAATAATTTTTTTAATTTTTTATATCGAATTAATTAAATTTTTTTAATTTTTTTTAAAAAATTAGTAAATCTTATTAGTTGAACAATATTTATTTATTTGTGTTTGTTATTTGTGATTTTTGACTTATGCTTGTAGAGTTTCTTACTATGACAAGTCCAGCCATTGATGATTAAATCAAATAGTTGGTAAGTATTACCAATACTTAAAAATATTTTATTTTTATAACTTTTAATTTATATTTCATTTTCTTTATGCAGGCTACTTGAAGAAAATGAATTATTGACACGAATCACCGATATTTTAATATTAGTATCTATTTTTTGATTTTTGTATACATTGAATTAATCTTAAAGGACAACTTATTATTTATATATTTTTAAATTGGGCTACGTTAATTTGTAAAAGTTACGAATGCACATGTCATTAGCTGTATTTATGTAGTGTTGCTGTAAATGTTAAAAAATTTAATTATGGTACGGAACTGAACCGAATCTGAACTGTTCCATAATTATATTTGGATCCGACGATTTCATTTATTAAATACTCGAAAATTTTGGGTCGGTTCGGTTCTCTTCAGAACCGAACCGAACCGACCGCTTCAGAACCGAACCGAACCGACCGGACCCATATCCAGCCCGAGAATTGTGTAAAATTTGAGTCTTGTCTTTTAAAAGCTAATTTATGTCATATTTAGTGTACCGCAATAGTCAATGCAATGTTATTAGCATAGCATAATCAATGCTCATAGTCCCTCAAATTTCAACTTAGGTACGTGGACTCAATAGAATAGTTACGATCAACTCTTTTTTGAATACCTACCCTCATTTTCCAAGCTGAATGATTTCAAGGAATCAATTTTCTACTTAAATTTCCATAACAGAGAAAGAAATTAAGAAGAATTACTAACCAAAATGTATAGCACAGAAGCAATTATAATAGTGCGGTATCGACCTATATATGAGTCAGAGACAAAAGCCCCCAAAAGTGGCAAAAGCGACGCCGTTCCATACCACACATTCAGGCTGGCCGCCCCAGTTGCAGTTGATTGACCCAATGGGCCTGTCAAGTATGTTATCAGATTCAAAGTTATCCCATAAAAGGCAAACCTCTCTGCCACTTCAACACCTAACCAAAAAGATAATTAAAATAAAAATAAATTCTCCAATTCTAAAAGAAAAAACCTGCTAGCAAGTGTTCAATAAATATAATATTTGACAAGTCAAATTAAATTAGATATCAAGTTGTAAATTCAAATCTCACAATAATGGCTCAGGCGGTCCAGCCTATGGAGAGAAGGTAGTCTTCACCATAGAGTAATAGTCAAATCTAAATAATGTATAACAATTACTGTTTCGCGCAGATTATTGAGCCTCGCTAACAATTAAAAGATGATTCAGACGATTGTGTAACGAACAAACTTCTCGAGACAAAGTCCCAACGATGTGTGCTTTATTTATGAATATTACAATTAGAAAGAAACAAAACGCCTCCAAGGGAAACAAAAACACAAAGTAATTTCAAAATTGACAATAAGAACTAAACAAAATGAAATTACATAATTCTCTATTTGAGAGTGATTGATTCGAAGCTCCTTCCTTCTATGTCTTCTTTTTTCTTTTACTCTATTGTCAGTTTTCCTTGTAAAATCGTTTGCAAACTACTTGTCGCTCTATAACTACCAACTTGCTACATAATGGCTGACGTGTCGAGGAATCGTCGTTTTTAAACAGCTGCTATTGCTCCCCTCTTTTAACTATTTACAACTGAGATATTTGGATTGTGGAACTTGATAAGATTACTCAATAACTGCTTCAATAACCGCGCTTTAAATAACAACAGGACACTATGTTCGCTTAGATCTTGGGCATCTCGAATACTTGGGCGAGAATGGGACCGTCGCTCTGAGCGACAATAAGGTACTTCATTCTTTTTGATCATGGGCGTCCTGCAGATTTGGGTGATGATAGTCTTTCGTTTATGGACCTCAACTATATTTTACAATGGTCTCATTTGGGCTTATCCCTCAAATTTTCTAAGGGAAAATTACATAAAAACAGGTAGTTAAACTTTCAAATTCAAAAATCAGGTGTTAAATTTATTTAATCAAAAATCAGGTATTAATTGAATATTTTATTAATTTATTAATACATATAAAAATTAATTAATCTACCCTGATCCATTCCATACCCTAGTTCATTTTCGTTCCCCTTTTTTCTCTCCACTCTCTCTCTCTCTCTCTCTCTCTCCTCCATTTCTCTGTACCTTCTTTCTCGCTACTGTGAAATTTGGTCGCCTGGTGCGAAATCATCACATAGGTGTTTAATGAGCGCCGCTGTGATCATCGGTGGCTGCGCTCTCAACGACGACTCGTGACTTCGTCGGGTGGTGAAATCTGGGTGTCACTCACCTGCTGCAAAATCATCACACGTCGATCGGGGTGTCGCTCGCTTGCTGCGAAATCTAGGTGTCGCTCGCCTGTTGTCGATCTAATCATCACACGTCGATCTGCGCTCTCAACGGCGACTCGCGACTGGTCCTGATGGAGTTGTGTTTGTGAGTTCTGTGGTGGTGATTTCTGTTTGTGAGTTCTGTGTTGGTGGATGTGTTGACGGTAGTACTGGTGGATGGTGGTGGTGCCGGTGGTGGCGACTGATTTGTTGCTGAAAATGGTGGTGGTGGAGGCGGTGACTGGTGGCAGTGGAGGGGAGGTGCTGTGCGGTGTGGTGGAGGTGATGGTTATTGGAGGTCACGATGAGTTGGTGTTGGTATGGGCAACTGTGGTGGTGGAGGTGGTCCTGGTGTGGGTTCAGGTCTGGTTTTGGCGACTGATTTGTTGCTGAAAATGGTGGTGGTGGAGACGGTGACTGGTGGTAGTGGAGGGGAGGTGTGTTGTGTTGTGTTGTGCTGTGCGGTGTGGTGTGGTGGTGGGAACGGAGATCAGATCTGTTGTTGGTGGGGACGGCGACGTTGGTGGTTATTGTTGGTGGTGTGTGACCAAGTATTTGGTTATCTGTGACCAAATATTTAATTTGTGACCTAAAAATTTTGACAATGTGACTGAAAAATAATCTATGACCAACAAATATGACTCAAAAATAATCTGTGACCAACTAATTTAAAAATCTGTGANTTTTGAATTTAGAAACTTAAACACCTTATTTTTGATTTTTTCCCATTTTCTAACTGGGCTCCATTTCTTGGACCTCATTTTTGTATGTCAACAATTACTATGAGCATCTTTGGTAAAAAAGGTATTAACTTATAAGTTGAGACCCGCAAATCGTTTAATCCAAAATTCACAAAATTGTGGGACGCACAATTTATAAGTTAGATAAGTTGGGAGTTCTCAACTTATCGGGGTTCTCAACTTATCGGGCGTATAAACTAGCTGTTCGAATTCTGGATCGAATAATTATATATGTACTAACTTGAAATATGGGAAAAATTACAATTAAACGATAAAATTCAATTTATTGACACGATCATTCAGTATCAACTTATCTTTAGCATAACCATCGGATCACACAATTTGTGGGTCCCGTCTCATAAGTTAAAGCCATTTTTATTTGTTTTTTTGCAAAACATGATCATTAACAAATGGCATCCGTGACCTGCCAATCCCCACCTACGGTCTGCCACCTTCCAAAAATTAAAAAGTGAAAGACAAAAAGATTTCATTTTTAAGTATAGCTATAAAAAAAAGTAATTAACCTCTCAATTTAACTTCCTGTTTGATTTGGATTAAAATCCAATTAAAATTTCAAGTCAAAATCAACGATTAAATTTAATAACACTTTTTATGGGATTCACGGCTTTTCAACTGCACATTTCATCAATTTTTTTTTATTAAAATCTACTAAAAATATGATTTTAATATCTATTAGACGGGGCTAAAATCAATATTTGGTATTTTTAGTAGGGAGCAAAAAGATAATATATATTTTGAGAAAAGGAAATCCTCATAACACATAAATAACTCTTTTAGTCAAAAATAAGGGAAAAAAAAAAAGTAAGTTAATCGACATGTTTAGTTGAGCTTAAAAGTATATTTATTTAGCCTCAGTTTGGCCCGTTAAATTAAAATTTATTTTGCACTTTTTTCTTATCAACTACACATTTTTCAATAAAAAAATATTACACGTAAATTTAAAAAAAATCTTTTTTTTTTAATCAGGCGTTCTCCAAAAAAATATTATTTCTCTCCTTACAAATGGAAATAAATGGAGCCCGAACAGGGGCTTATTTGTAAATGTAGCCAAGCAAGAAGAGTGGTGAAGGATGGAGATCAGTATCGAAATACAGATGAGTTCAAGAAACAAAACTAAGTTACATTCGAAGAGTTACTACGAGCGATTCAGAGAAGAGAAATTGTTTACCAATGATGAGAAATGCTGATCTCCATCTACCGGAATGGAATCGATTCGATGGACGGTCCTTGTAATCTACACAATCTTGAACACTAGTGTTTGGATTCAGCAATTGTATTTCTTCATCTGACATCTCTCTATTGTTTATTTCAAAACGAAATTGGAAATCCTTTTAAGCAAAAGAAAGTGAATTTGTCTTCAAAGTATTCATCTCGTCATATATCATTGCATAGGAATTGTTAACACACCACGTGCCATTGAGCCCACATTTGACCAAGACAACGTATTCATTTTTAACCATATTCACGCGATAAAATGTTATGCACGGAAACTCAAAATTATTTCATATTTTTTGACCATATATTCTCCAAAAAAATCATTATTCAAAACATTATTTTTCCCAAATAATTATTGTCAAACAGGGTCTGAGTTATTAAGTTATCGATTATGCTACATATACATAATATGTTTACATAATAGTTTATATGCATATGATGTTGTGAGATATGATTGAATCAGAATTTCTTCAATCAAATAAATAAATAAATAAAAGAAATTTCAATTTAACATTATTTACATCATTAATCTATAAATCAATTTGTATACTATTATGTACAAGTGACTTTACTCTTAAATTATTGATCCACGTGCTATTGTCGTTTCAAATTGATCTCTAACTTTTAGAAACAAAGAACATAATCTTTTAGAACATTGGTTCTTACACAATGATTCTAACTTTCGGCAATACAAAACTTGTAAATAAGAGTATACTATTTATGAATGTTCTAAAATGTGTAATGCGTTGTGAGGCATCGAGATCGAGAATCAAGAATCACAAGTTTAGGCGTGTCAATGCGAAGAATAAACGTCATAATGCGTTTCGTATTTTTAATATTATTTTAATTATTTTTAAGACAATTTAATATATCATAAAAAAAAAAAAGATTTTTTACTAAAATCAACAACTTTGCAATGGACTCAAACACTATTAGTAAAGCAACAGATATGAGGAATACTGTGATCGGAAATACTGAATATGGAAAAGTCTTTAGAGCATTTTCTCAAACACCTACTATGCATTCTCATATCTTAACACATTATAGGCAACGTATTTCCTTCATAATTCAGCCAATAAATCAAAGAAAAAAGTAAGAAGTTTTCAATAATTCAACCCATAATTAGACTTGATTTCATCAACAATTAACTTGTTTTCAATAAAACTTCCATTTCATTCATAATTCAGCCCATAATTAGACTTGATTTCATCAAGAACTAACTAGTTTTCAATAAAACTTCCATTTCAGTTTGCAATAGATCACAAATTCACATTCAACCAATATGAAATAAACCAAGCTTTCTAACGTGCTCCAACTTAAAAGCAAGGCAGCAATACAGGGAAAAAAAAATGAATAATTAAATAGCTGGCTATAGATGCAAGAAAACACAAACAGTTAAAAATGAGCCTGCAATTTTTCCTGCAATTTTTAAGCTAAAATATATCCCTATCAGTCGTGGGCAAGGTCTCCTATTTCCAATTTCAACTATTAATTACAAGAGAACTCTATTAGTAACATATATAGACCTGGAAGATCAAATTCATAATTAAAAGGATACCGCATTTTTCCATTAACAAATAATCCAACTTTCTCAACTGAATTAAAAATTCAATTAAGGTTTTTAGAGGGCAAAAAAGGGGAACGGCAGCCCACTTTCAAAACAGGGGAAAAAAAAACAAACAGTGAAGAAGACGAACCATGCACAGGAGCTGCCGCGTCGGAGCCGATCGGTCTGGGTCCGTCTCTTCATGTTAACGAGAATCCTATAGATGAAGCACAGCCAAAGTTCCTTTCATCCTTGCTTGCACAGTAACACAGCCAAAGTTGATCCCACATTGAAATCCTATAAATGAAACACAAGAAATTATGCCTATAAATAAATGGGCCAACAAAGCCTTCATATGCTTCCTGGGCCTATCAGTTGGTGGGTTGGAATGGGAAGTTTATAATTTTTAATTAGAGAATTGTGTAAAAAGAAAATTTAAACAAAGGCCTTTTAGTGGTCAACGAAGGCATTGACCGCATTTTTACACGCTTAGGGGGGTATGCGAGGCGTTTCGACCACGCGTCGCGCCTAGGCGCGCTAACGCGGCGCATTTTCCTGCGTTTTAGAACACTAGTAAGAACGCAATTATTGTATTTTCTCTTCATTATAGTTGTTCAATAAAATCTCAAATTCCTTTGTCAAATTAAATTCTATCTTTGTATCCATCTTGCTGTTGTGATCAATATTTAATATCGTGTCGTACAACCTTGTTCCGTTTCTAACAAAAGTTCTATCATAATAGGACTAAAGAGATTTAGTAGGATCCAATCTTATCGGAGTTAAACTTTAACTTATTGAAGTAGAGTTACAATGGGTCAAGCAATTGATAGCTAAGGATAAGGCAATTACCTGAGGAGATGCAAATACGTCACATGACATTCATGCTCGAGGAGATCACTTGGGCTTACCCTTAAATCAACCAAAATTCATGCTCGGAGTCATCGGGTTAGTGCCATCTTGGCTATATCAGTTAATAAATCAAGTGACAAGAACAATACTATCGGTTAATAAATTGATTTCATGACTTTCCATTTCCTATACTTCATTTGGTCCATAATTATTTTGCATCATGTTAATTTTACTATATGTATTGCATTTTTATTGTCAACATCCAAACAATAACATTTTAGGTGGAAAACTAGTGCGAGACTACAGCAGCATAACTTTAAAAATGAAGTATTGAGTCCTCAACTCATTTAAATCTTTCGATTTTAAGTCGGGAGTGGGACGAGGGAGACACCTGCAACAAAAATATGCTAGTTCATCTTACGAAGGCATGCCATGCCAACTCAGGAGAGAACTTAGTTAACCTGAACAAAGCTGAACAAGACTTTAATTGGAAGGCATTTCCCAAGTTATAAACTACATGCACAAGAAGAAAAATTAAAATACACAACACAAACTGTAAAGCATCAAAATTAACAACAATATCTACAGCCTAAAAATGATCTTTCTACTTTCACGAGTTGTTGCTGCTCAATACAAGATCCTGAATCAAGTAAAAACTAGCATGATCAGACTGAATTCAGATGCTGTCCGAGGTTAACGAGGTGCCAAGTAAGGGACATTAGTGTAAGAACATTGAGTAAGGATGAATACTGATTCAGCCCCTTCAAAATTCCAGTCAATCGTAACAACTGCGCCTTTCCTGCCGCTTTCTCTGTCCTATCTTGAGCTGCATCCTGTCTACTACTAGCATCAGTACTTCTCTCACCGTGGGTGCCTGTGGCTGCCCGATCAGTCACTCCGCTGAGCTGTTCCATGACTAACCCTTCTTTCCCAGTGGACGTGGCAGCTCGATCAGTGAGAGCATCCATTACTTGGCTGCTCGGTTCAGTGGTGAAACCCTCTTTCCCTCTTCCTTCTTCCTTCTCCTTTTTCATTCTCTCCAACACCACCTGCATTAATTAAGACCGTTTATACATCTCATTCAAAGTCCAAGGTGAGAACTCTTTAGCTTGTTTGGTAAGATAGAGGGCATGGTACTAGACAATAAACCAATTTACTATCCAATCATGTCCAAACTCCAAACTGGCCCGTACTTGTCGCTCTAATGTAAAAAGAGAGCACACCAATAGCAAAGCATCATCTCAATCAATTATTTATAAGTGTACACATTTTGGAGCGGTAGATTAATGGAGAAATGAGAATGTGTGTTTAACAAATAAAGAATTTTTTTGAATTTGTGTGTAATATTATTTTATTGAAGGATGTGTGGTTAGAAAGAAGAGAAAAAAATATTTTTTGATAAAAATAGATCAAACGATCTCTAAAAATACTAGGAAACTGACACTAAAACATTAATCCCTTGTTTGATTCCCTTAATTTATAAAATACATTTTCCCCCTAATTTTCAACTACATATACTTTAATAAAATAATATGAATTACTACCCCTTGATCCTTGATCACTTATACTGCCTCAAACATCTGACTATTTTCCAACTGAAATGAAATATTACGTACGAATACAAAATTTCTTTATTTTTTAATTCTACGTACTCCACATACTCCATTAAAATACTATTAAAAATGTATTCCTATTAAAAAAAATGGGGCTCAAACAAAACAACAATTAGCTTACCAATAAGCTGATTATAAAACAAATTACTTATAAGTTAAAAGATCAAGAACAAACTTTGTTTGAGCCCCTTTTTTTCAAAAATTTATTTTGAGAATTTATTTTTTCAAAACTCATTTTCGAATGACACACTTTTAACAAAAAGTTTTTTTACACGCGAATAGTAACTTTTCCTTAATTTTTAAGGATACATTTTTTCAAAAAATTACTATTTAAAAATACCAACCTTTTTCCTAAAATGAGGCTCAAACAAGATATCAATATCCGATAGGATAAACAACAAAAAGTTAGTGTACTGTGTATAGTAATATGGATTAATCCATTTGTACATAATAATTTGTACATAATAAATTACCCAATCTCACATAATGCGCGAGGTTCGCGTATATTTAAAAATTTCGACAATGTGGTCTCGTTCCCAATGTGATTAGTGGGTAAAAAATTCGGTAAAAAAAATCGGTACATGTAGTAGGATCTTAGTAATATTACGTACCTTACTGGATCGGGGCTCCAAGTAGAAAAATTCCACCAAAATCATCAACAAAGGTGCCCCGAGATTGAAACCTTGGAGAATCTCCTGTCTCACTGAAGACGACCTTTTAGTCCGACTTAAAACATGTCCTAAAAGTGCCAGCCCTACACTATAAGTCATGGCCTTCAAATAAACTGGATAAATCTTGCTCTGCACCATCGCAAATTGCTGTCTAGGGAGTGCCCCTGCCAAAACAAAACTCGAAACAAATGTAACCCACATACACATTCCATAAGCAGTGGCTAAACCCAACAATCCTAAAACCCCCGTCACCCTGCGTAGAAATTGATTCAAGCCTTTCTCCCCCTCATCTTTAACCCTTTGTGCACTATCCTTCACTTTTTCTGAGGCACTTTCCACAATTTCTCCTGCCTTCTTCGCGCTATCAGCGATTTTTTCTTTCGTGCCATCCATTATTCTCGAGCCATTCCTCTCGATCTCACCTTGAAGATTCTTTGCAGTTTCAGCACCACCCCGTTTCGCCTTCTCCGTCGCCCTCCTCACTTCACTAGCCTTTTCATAAACTGTATCTTTCACATGCTCTTTTGCTTCACGGGATTTATGAGTAACCCTATCTTTCAAATTACCAATGGCCTCTTTTGCTTCCTCCTCCACCTCGTGAACTTTCTCCGCCGCCTTGTCCGCCCCCTCATGCACTTTCTCTGCCGCCTTGTCCCTGGCAAGGTGCGCCGTCTCTGCTGCCTGGTCGGAAAGGGTATCTTTAGTTTTCCCAATGGCGCTGACAATTTTATGCTTACACTTGCCATAAGCATCGCACACAAGCTCTCTAGGACTAAATCCATGGTGAATTCCTTCTTCATTTTTTTCCTCCTTTGCATCCTCCATATTTTCAGACAAATTATCCTTCAAATTTGTAGGTTTTTCATCAATTTCTTGAGGAGAAATTGAAACTTTGGTATTTTTATCATTTTTTTCATACTCAACCACCACAACTCTATGCCCTTCTTTCAATATAACATCATCTTCTCTTGGATTGTGCTTTTGTGGGCTTGGAGAAAACACAACTGCTGTTACAAGTGTAGTCATTACAAGACTTAAAGCCAAAACATTCATCATTTTCCCTCTATAACTAATTTCTGTAGAACCAATTTCTGTCTCTATTACCAGTAATGGAATTAAAATTGGGGAGATGGGGGATATGTAAGAAGTTGAAATGTAGCCACGTAGAGAACTGTAGATTTTGAATGCAACACGTGTGATGATGCATGTTGTTGTAGAATTGTACGTGTCCACCTTTTGGTTGTCCTTATCCGTAAAGACAGCTTCACCCATAGTACCACGTTTGTAAAATTGGATATTTATGTCGGGGAGATGCTTGATGCACATATTTGGGTGTACATAATACATTACACTCTTCTCACAATGATAGGAAATTCGCAATTTAAAAAATTATGAACTCCACACTCTATTGTGAGAGGAGTGTAAATCTTAATGTACATAACAGTGTATATTAAGACTTATTCTTTCTGTCGGGGCCTGTTCGAAATTTTCAAATTCTATCAAACTCTAAAGTATCTGTTGTACAATTTGAGATAATATATTAATTGATGTCATACCAATAATAGACTTGATTCTTGAACCATAAGTAAGGTCCCGTTTAATTACAAAAGAAAATAATTGTTTAGAACTTATTTTTTAAAAAATCGTTAATTAAGTGTGTTTAATTAGTATAATTTTTCACTGAAAATTTTGAATCTTTTTATGTTCATTTGACTTTGTTTTACATGAAAACTGTCTATTGAAGTGATAATTTTTTCCACAATTAGTTATAAAATTTGTTTCCATTGCCAAAATGTTAAAAAAATATATATATATATTTCAAAGAAAATCATTTTTTAATCAAAGTTTAATGTTCATTTGACTTTATTTTGTGAATTTTTTTTACAATTAGTTATAAAATTTGTTCCAACTGCTAAAAAAAAAAAAATTGAAAATCTTTTACCACAAAAAAGGCAAGAAAAAAATTCAACAATTTCCTAGAAAATAGGCACGTGAGGAAGCAAATTGGAAAATCAGTTCCCTAGAAAATTTCACCTATCAAACATTACTTTTATTGGAAAGAGGAAAAAGTTTTCCAGCTACCCTAAAAAATAATGCATTTCAAACACTACCTAAATGTTATTGAGTCGAGATTAAAATTAAATTATTAGTAAATTTTGATAAAATGTGAAGAGATGTGTGATTAAAAAATTGTAAAAAAATATGATTCAAATTAATTGTTGACTTTGATTTATAATAAAATTTCAATTTGAATTTCTACAATTGAAAATATGAATACTATTGTTTGAAACTTTGTGTTTGACTATTTATTATTTCAAAATTATACGTTCAAAATCTTCGAGTGAAAATAATATTGTAATTAAATTTTGTTATGATAGAGTGCTTAGCATTCTGGTATATATAAATAATCAAAATCTACTACTAATATGAATTTTTTAATTATAACAATATAATCAATTAAGTCCTTGTTTGGTCTGTTAGTTTCAAAATATGTTTTTATTTTTCTTATTTTCAATAACTGATTATTCAATAAAATGATATTACATACAAATTAAAAACAATTCTTATTTTTTAACTCACATTCTGCATCAAATCACTATTTCAAAATGTATTTTCTTATAAAAAGATTCAAACATGTTCTATATATACGAAAATTTGTAGAATAAAAGCTCAATATAATATTAGTCACATCATTTGAACACATGACGTATTTGAATACATGCATAGCCATTTTCAAGCTCACGCTTCTCACAAACAAAAATAGAGAGACAGGCAATTAGAGTGAGATTCAAAATCAGTGTTCGTTTAGACATATTGAAGGAGCTGCCTAGGTGCGATGCACAGCGGATGGTTGGCACCTTATTTTGCAGTTAACGATTGCCGTTCACCGCTAATACGTGCCTAGATGCGCATTATTGTCTTTTTTTATTTTTTTATGCATATGCCTCATATAAATCCGTCTAACCTATAATTTGACCTTCATGCATCGCTAGATCACGGTTCAAAATTATTCCTTCAAATTAGGGAGGCCCCATTTTCTCATTGTACTAGCACAAGTTAGTCAAAGCTAAGGGCATGTTTGATAGGCAATTATTTTCCATGGAAAATGGAAAACAAATTTCAATTTCCACTTTTGCCTTGTTTGATACACTTTTTTTTTCCATGGAATTCATTTTCTTGGTTTGCCTCTCACGGTCACATTTTTCTTGATTTTGTGGAGCTTTTTTTCTTTTTTCAATTGGAAAAAATTCTAGATTCAATGGTAAAAAAAGGTATTCAGTATGATAATTTTTTAATTTTTTTTTTCAATGGGAAAATTTTAGACCAAATGGTAAAAAAATTATCATTTTAATTAACAATTTCCATGAAAAAACGAAGTCAAACAGACACCAAACTTCCAACATTTTTCGGATGAAAAATTATACTAATCAAATACAATTAACTACAATTCCCAGTAAAACAAATTTCAGACAATTCAATTCTATGTAATTCATTTTTTTTCCATCTAAATTTAACATTTACAATCAAATGGACCCCAAGTTAACTAGATTGAAATTGACGTCAAGTACCGTACATGGATGACCGATCTTTTGACCTAACTCTTAAATTAATTGATTCCACTTCTCTCGCCCCATCTACTACTGGTGTCAAAATGTAGGCCACCTCATTAAAAAATAAAATCGAAACTAACGAGTTGGTCCACCAATTATGATTGGTCGTTAATTTTTCAACCTAACGACCTATAAGGACACGCTGTGTTTATTTATATTTAAGTTTGACGATATAATTTTCAAATATAATCATTACAGGTCTAGCCAACAATATTGGCTGGCTCTTGAGTCGTCCGATCCACATATTTTGAAGACAGTTTGAGCTGGGCCCGAATTATAATCTTAAATTGGCCGATTTAGGTCTATAGCGAATCTGATTGATGCGGGTCAATTCACCTATTTTGACACCCCTAATCCTTCTCATACCATTCTTCGTGTGGAAAATGTCGAATGATAACTATAGCCTCCGTCCCCATATATGCAACTTAGGGCTTGTGTGGGAGGGATTAAAATCAGATTAAAATTGAAAATATAGCCGTTATTGTTGACTTTTATTAGACGAGTGGGGTCCAATAACGACCATATTTTCAATTTTAATTGGCTTTTAATCCCTCCCGAACGGGGCCTTAATTGGGTCCAAATCAAAGCCCAAGAATAATACCCCAACTAAAACATTTATATACAACATCATTTTTCTCTCCTGAAATTCTGGAATTTTTGTTAATCCTCCAGAACATAATTGATCAAATATCAGAGACCTCAAAATGAATAGACCAAGTAAAAAAGAGTTGGCCCTAAAGGCAGACTTCCAAAGCTTACTCATGGAAGGGTGAAGGGATGAAAGAAGAAGAATGAGCACATGTACCACAAATCTCAAGTATTGCTTAGTCGATCTTCACCATCCATCTTGTCAACTGGCTTGGGTCGACAACTGGAGCCTTACATGATTCTCCACCTGAATAAGTTCAGCATAATGCTGATAGATCTCACTGCTTGCATCTTGATCACCAACGCACCACCATACAGACCATTGGCCTAGTCCACCATAGTCATTGCTAGGTACCAACGTAAGAAATGAATTTACAAGACCATTTTAAGTGTCAACATATATATGTAGGAAGAATGAATGGGGATGGAAAATTCCCCGACCCACCGGGGAATTGGGGCGAAAACGGGAAATATGATTTCCTACTCGATTCTTATTTTCTATATGTTTAAATTTAAATTTTGTTTAAAAATCAAAACAAACAAATAAATAGTAAATGAGGTTGACAAGATATTTTATTGTCCCATCCTATCCAGTCCCAGTCCCAGTCCCTGTCCCTGTCCCTCTCCCTCTCCCGGTCGCGTCTTGAAAATTCCAACAAGACAAGAGATCATAGGGAGGGTTGTCCTCGTCTCGCCCCATCCTATTGCTATTCACATTTCAGATGGTGGTCTTTAAGTTCAAGTGAAATTTTAAATTGGTCATTAATGTAATTTTGTGATCCATTTAGTTACTAAAGTTAAATAATATTACATAATTGGTTGACTCCATTGGCCTTATTAACGCTAACGCCACAATTTTGTCAATGAATATTAAAAAAAAATCAGGTACAAATACAATAAAACAAACATTCAAAACGAAAAATCTTATTTTTATTTAATTCTCCTTTTTCCTGGATTAGGCTGATTTGTCTAAACATTGGACAACATTAAAATAAATCATGTGGATGCCACAAAACTCATTATCCTTTCCAAAAGCCATTTATCAAAGATTTAAAAAAAAAAAAAAACGCACGTATTATTAAAAAAAAAAAAAAAAACGCACGTATTTAAGAATATCAAATAAAGAGGATATTCAGTTCTTCATGTGAAGAGAAATGACCAGTCTGTTTATGTGTATCAATTGCCCCCAGCTCAAATTGAACATATCAGAAAGTGAACTGCAACAGAGAGGAAAGACTTTTACACTACATGCAGCAAAATCTGGTGGCTTCTCATTGAAATCAGTACGTGCCTTTAAACCTCGTTAATTTCTGCGCGTATAGCGTATTTGTGTAAACTCGATCGAATAGTACCTGGTTCATAGGTTCATTGACATGCTCGCAGGGTATCTGTCGAAATTATGAATGCCTTTCGGCATTGTAAAAATGGACTTATGAGCCGATATCATATGGAGCCATTATTTGAATCTCAACAATTAACGTAATATTTTTGTGTAATGCAGAGGCCAAGGTGCAATAGAATGTTCAGGATGTAAGGTATCGTCTAAATGTTCATTTATATTTATATTTCCGACAAGAAATTGTATCGTGAATAATGTTACTTTTCCAGAAAGTATGTGACATAATAGGTGTTGACAAGATGTGATTGGTTGAAAAAGCTGACCGTGTTTTACACAGTCCAATGATAGGTTGTCATGTGGTATTATGTTAAGAATTATATCAACCATTATGTCTGCGTAACATGATTGTTATATCATATGACCTCTTGTGTTTTGGTATCATTATGATATGAAGGCTAATAAAAGGTGAGCTCATATTTATCCTGGGAACAGGAAATAACAAAAAGAATGGGAACATTTTCGAGCGCTGGAAGTAAGTTCTATTGATTCTTGATAATTAAATTTAGTCTCAACGTACCATTACTGTGTTTCTTTAATCTAATCTCAATGCAAA